TCTTTTTATCGTAGAATATCTTATCGGTGTATTGTGCCGTAGTAAATAAAATAAAAGATATCAAAGATTATATGGAACACATTATGTAGTAGTCGTACAACATTTTAATATATATTAATATATTTTAATATACATTAATATATATTAATATATTTTAATATATATTAAATATATTTTAATATATATTAAATATATTTTAATATATTTATATTTTAATATATATTATGCAATTTAATATATAGACAGGTACAATATTATAGTTTAGTATTTTATAATAATGTAATTTATAATAATTATGTTTCTATGGTTATTATTGGCACAACGTGGGACAGAGGTGCACCAAGGTTTACTGTATCATTAAATATAGTTGAAATATAGTTGCCCTATTGTATGCCATGTATATCAATATGTAATATGTACATAGTGTGGTATGTAACATAATTTTTTGTTATATAGCGATTTTCTATAGTAACGTAATATATTTAAGTACAACATGTAATTATAGATATGTATTTGTTATTATTTTAACGTATTATAACAATATCTTGGTATACATGTATTATGGTGTGTTACTAGAAGGTAAGTAATTGTACAGTGAAGTATATGTTTGTAGTTGTTGAAATATGTTTTAACGTAACATAATTTTTGAGTGAAGTTCAGCATTTGTAAAAGAATACTTCGGAATACTCGTCCCGTTAAGTTTGCACGATTAACAATAATAATTAATTGTATCTATGACGAAGTCTCTCGATAAAGTTATTAATATACATGATCTCACAAAGAAATAATCAGAAGTTATTGAACTTCGCATGAAAACTGGCCATCATTTCTGATTATGTTATATCAAGCTTGCGCTAATTTTGAAACTGAATCTTTCTTGTTATTTTTGTTACAGAATCAGGGAAACCCCGCGTCTCCGAGAAAAAGGTGAACACACTTAATTTCTTTCTTTCGATCTTTCTCGTGAGAAAATATTTGATAGCGTCTGACGTTGTTTTATAAAAAAATATATATTCTCGTTTGTGCAGGCAATATTCTCGTTAGGCTTGATGATATTCAAAGCGCTTGATTTCGGCCTAGATGAACAGGAAGAAAGGCCTGTGTCACCTGATTTGGAGAACCTTATAACATTAATGACACGTGCAGACGAAGGTACAGTCGACTCATAAAGACTGAAATTCTTCTGGGAACAAATACAGAGGTCACTCATTATTTTTGGTACTACGTAGAAATCGATGGGGAAACGGAAGAACGTCCGCAAGAAACGGATGATGAAGGTATTGAGCGGGACTCCAGCGATGCCGACGTGGATGAATTTTTATCGCAGAAATGTAACGATGCGTATGAAGAAAGGCCATCGCTGTATTCGTTGAAAAATGTGATGCAAGTAAGTGAGGTGAAACCAAAATTCGACGTTTCATGACAAATTCTGTGAAAAAATATAGAAAGTTAATATTCATAAGTTAATATTCATTGGTATATATAGTTATGTATCAGGCACATGCAAGCTTCTGTGGAATCTGCTGAAATTCATTATAAAGCTGTAATACGGGCATTCGTAGCAGAGGCTCTAGAACTATCATATTTTTTGGACACAGTAGCGGCTAATAAATTGCACGCTAGTAGTCGAAGGGAATCTGTTACTGATGGCAATAAGCAAACCTCGATGTCTGTCCAGAACCTTGATACATTAGATTTTATTGATTGGGTAAGATTTTTTATAATACGTCATCTACGCAAAATACATATATTATATTATTTATATAGGCTCATATAAATAAGATAATATTTCCTGTTTTAAGAAATTACGACACAGACTGTTTCAGCATCACATATTCGCGAATTATATATATTGAAAATTAATACCTTTGTTGTGTTGTAATATAGAAATACCTTGCTCATGATATATATACATATATGTATCAAATTGTTATACTGACAATTTAAATTGTGCTATATAATTGTGCACAATCCGCACAAATAGAACCACTGATACTATCGTGTCGCATCAAGTCATTTATTATTTTGCAAAGATAAGATATTTGAGACTTATTCACTCTTTATTGTTATAGACTGACATTAGGATTTGGAGAGCTATACAAGTACGTGATTGATAATATTTGCGCATGTAAAAGTGATATGTTAGAGCTTAGACGAGATTATCAAGCATGCAGCATGATTAGTTTCATACACTTAGCGTTGTTTTCTATAGAATTATAAAAATATTATCGATCAGTATATATTTTAAATGCACGCATTAATCTGATTTCAATTTAAATTTGTGCATTCCAGAAATTAGCCACCTTTAATGTTTGTAATTAAGTTAAACATGAAGTGACTCTTCGAATATTCTATGTTGCACACTTAGCACTGATAATATTTAATATATTTATAAGCGAAAACAATAAAAAAAAACTCTTTTTATAACTCGTTTAATGTTTCTTTCTCTCTTTTTTTTTTTTTT